AAAACACCAAGACAAATGTCCAGCTTTATAGTAAATATAAATATAAAACTCATCTCCTGTGGTTTGTATATGTATATATCTAAGTGAATACAAATTCATATTTATCTCTAAAATGCTGGTGGAGGACAAAATATAGTCACTAGACCAGATGGGAGAGGGTAAATTACAGGAGACAGTAAAGATGGACTTGCAACTTCATTTATTTTAAATCTTCATTTTCTGGGGGGATGAGGATTCAAAAAAAGAAGGCTATTAATGTCTGAATAATAAGGCAAAATGATCAATTGTGACTTGAGAGGTTCAGGTTGGATATTAGGAAAAATATTCTCACCACAAGGGTGGTACAGCACAGAAACAGATATACAGAGGAGTTTTGGATCTTTATTTTAAGATTTTCAAGACTCTGGAAGGCAAAGTCATGTCAGACATAGTCTGATTTTGGATGATCTCAGATGTCCTTTAGAACCAATTGTTCTATGAGCCAGTGGATAAATCTTGCTAGAAATCTGCTAATCTCAAATGTTTCATTCATTTTTTTAATCACTTGCTTTTCTTATATCTTCAAACCCAAGCTGGCCTGTAAAATTCTCCCATAGAAAATGCCACTGATTTGTGATCAGAATCATTGGTGTTTATTTGTGGGAAGAATTAGTCCAGTCTATTTCACCTCTAAGTGAAACCCTAGAGCTTTATTTGTCAAGCACTGAACACTAAAAGAAAGGATGAAGGGTGAAAAGAGTTAAATTTCCTCCCAGAGGATTTTTTCCAGACAAGCTAGTGAATTTTCTATTATTTGTCAGAAGCGTAATGGGAAAAGCCAGAGAATAGTTTACAATATAAATGAGAATAGCACTGGGCAAGTACTTTTTGTAACTTACTATTATTTCCTGAAAGGCAGGACTGTTTATTCTGCTCTGTAGAATTCACCATAAAATTCTTTTTGATACAGAATCAGATCTCATCTCTTCCTATTTAAAAAGTTTTCCAAATGGAGATAATTTGAAACAGTGAGGAGACAGTAACTAATACCCTGGTTGTGTCTGTAGGAAGCCTGAAACCACAGCTACAAAAGGTATAAAGTGCCTCAGTCATCTCAGTGAAAGCTTTAGATCTTCTGTACTTAAGCAGCTGGGAAGCTTGAAAACGTCTTTCTCAAGATGCTACAGAAATCAGCACATCTGACAAGGAATCTGTAACTTTTTCCATCTGATTGCTGACCTTTTATTTGCCCAGCTATTCCCTTTGCAATTCTAGTAAACTACCACTTTCTCTTCAACTTTCTCTCCATGTCCCAGACAGAAGCAAGGCTAGAATCAATGCACAGAATGGTTTAGCCAAGTGGCTGTCAGTCCTAGTTTGGCTATACCAGTAATATAATTGATTAGTATGTGTTGCATATATTGTTCCCCTAGAAACTTTAATCTACTGATATTTTATATTAAAATTCCTAGATCAACTTAGAATTTCCCAGAGATTTTTAAATATCATGCATTCTGATACTATACACTGCTTGAGCTTATGGAACACTGTAGTTTTTCTTTCCTGGTTCTGCTTCTTTCTGAGACACAGTCTCAATTAATACATTGTAACAAAAAGACAACTTCAGCCAACCAATGCCTTTGATTAATGAGTAGGAAGGTGTTCTAAGGACAAGGTTTTCATGTATGTAGAGGGATGATGGTAAAGTGTCCTGTTGGAGCAGCGGAGAGGAAAAAATAGCAGCAGATCTTACATAATTTGCAATTATCAACCCAGCATAAAACAGTAGCAAGACCAGAGGCTTATCATATGGCCCATCTCAGAGATGCTTGCTTACATCTTCACTAGTTTCTTGTCTTGGATTGGAGGTTTCTCAAGACAGGCCCAAAACTCTTGCCAAAGAGTTCTCTGTGCACAGTTGAGAGCTTGATTAAAATGCTATAATTTCAGAAATAAAAATAACCTTATTCTTAAAATCAATAGTTAATGGGTCTAAAAATTACCCTAAACTTCTATGAACCAAGTATTTGTTGAGTTAGTTTATTCCCATTTAAAAAGCTTTCAAAAAATTTGAAAACTTAAAGTGTTGGTTTAATTTGTTTACTTCTATACAAGACATAGATAAGGATGGTTTTGTTATTATATTTATTATAAAAATTTGAAAAAATAGCACATATATGCTGGGACTAAAATTAGATATTGCAAACAAGAGAAAAAACAAGTGCAAATGCAAAGCCCAATTAAACTATTGTTTCAGTATGATTGATATCTAACAAACAAGCAAGACCCTTTGTTTACAGCTGAATTTCTCAAGAGTGCAGAAGACACTTCAAAAGGTGTTTATCTAAATTCATTAATCAGGTTTCATCCCATTAGTCTGAATTGCAGCTTCTTTGCCTTTTTTGCTTTAGTGTATAACATAAGATTAAGCCTTTAACCAGGCCAGAAAAAAAATCATAGTAATCATTTAAGAAACATTGTAAACATCAAATTCAGGAAACTGTAATTATACATGCCAAACTGGGCTATCTGTATGTTTTGCATGTGTGTTACTGAAAAAACTTTCTGTACCTATGTGTATTTTATTGCAAGTAGCTATAGCAAGGACTATTGCCTCATTGTCTAAAATAGGTCATTCCACCAACATGAAAATATGGCTTCTTCTCCAAAGAGCTGTACTGCAGTTTTCACTAAATACTCAATGACTTTAAAATGTAAGGGCCTTGATAGTTCTTATTTTGAACTGGAAATCAGTATTTGAAACTCCATACAAATTTTGTATAAAGAAAATTCTCAAGTGGATTGCTGTGGAAAAACAGCTTTAATCCCAAAATTTTAACACCGACCCAAATATGACAATCCAAACAATTTGTCAACTAATGTCTGTGATTACTGCTAGAGAAACAAACAGAAAAATTGGCCCATGATATCTATTTTAGACATGAAGAAGCAGACAAGATAGTCCATATATTTAATACTTTTATTTTCAGCAAAATACTCCTCATTTTACTACAAGCAACTGGATCAAAACATTCATTCTTATCACATTATCATAAACCCAGAAGTTGCTTTAGTAACACAGAAGATAGTTTGAGGTTAGCAGTTTCAAGGAGGGGAGGAATGTCTGCTTTGAAATTATTGCAAAATTGTTAGGAGGGAGAGAAAAGACACCTGGCAACACCAAGGAGGAGCAATACTGTTTAGGAATTTTAGGATGTAACTCAAAATGCATAAAACAAAGCAAATCCTGAAGCAGCACATTCATGCAGAATATTACAGCAAAAGTGCTTTGCCTTTGTGTGGCTGTAGTCATTGCTGTTTCCAAGTCTGAGCCAGATTTCACTGAATCAGCTCAAATGTTACTCTGGTGCCTCCGGTTACTTCATCATCTGAGCTTCACATGGGCACAGTTTATGTGTATGCGTCCTAAGGGAAGAGGGTAGGTATTCCATATTTACATATTAAATTTAGTATTCTAGCTTCTGGTGTGCCCATTACATCTGCTGACTTTTCCCACCTCAAATTTTCTTCTATAGCTGTTTATCCTCCAGATCAAATAAATTATGCTCAGAATGGTCTGCACTACTCATCATCAACAAAAAGATTATGCAAAGTTGACTGGGGAATAATTTACTATTGGTAAAATATTCTGCCCCCTTTTGTATAAGGTCTTTTTCCAGATTTTTTTTTTTAATATGCAAGTCACCTCAGGAAACTGGAAGCCAAATTCCAATCACAGAATCACAGAATCACAGAATCGCAAGGGTTGGAAGGGACCTCGGGAGATCATCTAGTCCAACCCTCCTGCTAAAGCAGGTTCACCTAGAGCATGTTACACAGGACTTCATCCAGGTGGGCTTTGAATATCTTCAGAGAAGGAGACTCCACAACCCACCTGGGCAGCCTATTCCAGTGCTCTGTCACCCTCAGAGTAAAGAAGTTTTTCCTCATATTCAACTGAAACCTCTTATGTTTCAGTCTGTAACAGCAATACAATAGCAGTGAAGAAGAAATTTTTTATGATGAGGGTGGTAAAACACTGGGATGGGTTGCCCAGAGAGGTGGTAGATGCCCCATCCCTAGAAACATTCAAGGTCAGGTTGGACAGGGCTCTGAGCAACCTGATCTAGTTGAAGATGTCCCTCCAGGGGAGTTGGACTAGATGACCTTCAAAGGTCCCTTCCAACCCAAAAAATTCTATGATTCTATGATTCTCTATCTTATTTGCATTAGGCAACGCCAAAGACGGGAAATAAAGTTCTGATGCTGTTTCAAGCATGGGTTCTGTGCAAGCAGTTTGAAAGCTAACTATTACAGAATGTAATTTTACAAGAGAAGGCACTTCCTTAAAATATCTGCAACTGGATTTTTACTTTTCTTTTTATGAAGAGCAGATACAGAAATCTATAAAAGCCTAGCACTTTTAACTGAGTTCTGTTCTGCCTCCTGCAATGTCAATATGTTGTTTTCAGTTCCAAGGTAAATATTCTCATTATTGTTCATAGAAATGAAGAAGAAAGTCGTGGTTTAACCCCAGCTGGCAACTAAGCACCACACAGCCGCTTGCTCACTCTCCCCGCAATGGGATGGGGGAGAGAATCAGAGGAGTAGAAGTGAGAAAACTCGTGGGTTGAGATAAAGACAGTTTAATAGGGAAAGCAAAAGCCACGCACGCAAGCAGAGCAAAGCAAGGCATTCAATCACCACTTCCCATGGGCAGGCAGGTGTTCAGCCATCCCCAGGAAAGCAGGGCTCCATCACGCCTAATGGTTACTTGGGAAGACAGACGCCATCACTCTGAACATTGCCCCCTTCCTTCTTCTTCCCCCAGCTTATATACTGAGCATGACGTCATATGGTATGGAATAGCCCTTTGGTCAGTTTGGGTCAGCTGTCCTGGCTGTGTCCCCTCCCAGCTTCTCATGCACCTGGCAGAGCTGAGAGCTGAGAAGTCCTTGGCCAGTCTAAGCACTACCCAGCAACAACCAAAACATCAGTGTGTTATCAACATTCTTCTAGTACTAAATCCAAAACACAGCACTATACCAGCTACTAGGAAGAAAATCAACTCTGTCCCAGCAGAAACCAGGACAAATACAAAATCAGAACCAGGATTTACAGAGCTTATACTTCAAACTAGTTTTATTATTATTATTATTATGTCACAAAGAGGAGTTCTTTTGTAGAAATGGCTATATGTGGCTCCATCTTAATTGTATTTCTGCAGGTTTTCAAACTAGTGAAAAGACTACTATACTTGGGGGCAGGGGAAGGAGGAGGAAGTCATCAGTTCTCCCCTTCCTGCTATTTCCTATTCACTATGACAATTAGAGCAGCAATCCACAGTTCTGGTTAATGTGCCATATTGTTCCCATCTCCATGAACCATCAGTACAAACCCCAAAAGTCTGGGGAAGGACTGAACATACTTAAGTGAGCAAGACCAGGCAACACTTTCAATTCAACAAAATGAGTCAAAAATATACAGTTGAATTCCAGAGACACAGTCTTCTGTCAGTCTTCTATTGGAGCATAGATGCACATTCAAGTAAGAGAAAGGGGACATTTAAATAAACACTAACACATAACTAATTGCAAAGATCATGATGCTCATTACAACACCTGCAAGAGAGGAGATATAGGAGGTGTTTGCTGCGATCTTTCAATACAATCAGAAATCCACTGGATTCAGCTTTTTCATTATCTGCTTTGATTATCACAGCGTGATTTGGCTCACAGTCCAGTGCTATGTAATAAACCTTGGTTTCTCAAAAAACAAAGTTTCTGTTACTAGTCCTGTTGGAAGGAAATGTTAAGACCATGGATTGCTTTCCACCTACTTCTGCTACTGGAGTGAAACTCCACAGTCCTGAGAATACAAAAAAAACTGAAATGAAAGTCCATTTCTCTGAACATTTCTCCATTGTTCTTAAAGTGGCCCTAGGCAGGTGACAAGCTGACAGGCTGGCACAGCATCGTGCCTGGAAGAAAACTGTGTGGATGACTCAGTTGTTCATTGGATAGTTTTAGACTTACAGAGAGAGAGAAAGAGAGCACCAGTTTCTGAACTGCCTCTGCAATAGCTCTTACTCATCTATCAAACATTTCCTCTCCATTTCTTTTGGTGTTATATTGTAGGTTACTACCCAACCTTGCTGGCTCAGTAGTAAGTCAGAGAACCATGGTTCAGAATGCTACTCTTCCACAGAAAGCAAAAGACCCCCTTCAGCTCACTTGGGACATTAATAGCTCTGCTGAAATGTCACACTGCTGAAAGTCACCTAACCAAGTCATATATGCCTTCATTAGGAAAAGAATGTCCTACTTCAAATACTTCAGAATCCTCCCAGGAATAGCAATCACTTCTTTTCAAAAGCTTAAAGTGCATTCATGTGACAACAAAATAAAACAAACAAAAAAACTCACCACCGAAAAAACCCCAACCAAGCAAACCAAAACAAAATGAAACCAAAACCAAAAGAGTCCTTTAAGATAGCAATGTTGAAAATACAGCTAATAGAGACTGTGTTTTTTCAGAGGGTAAAATCTGTCAGGCCCTGAATGCCAGCTGAGTAGATACAGTCCTTTTAATTATCACAGTGTCAGCAACTACCTTCATTCCTGAGCTTAGTTACGTGGGTTTTTTTCAGTTCTGTACCAAATCATAAAACAGAACTTCAGTCAGCTGTCTTTGCTATGAGAGCATTGGGATTTTGTGAAATGGGAGGGAGAGATTATACTGTATGTAATAGCCTGGGAGAGGGCTTACTGGTCACTTCTTTGTAAATGGATGAAATACCATTGGTGGCTTCTTTTGTTCATTTCTGTAGGGCATTGCAAAACATAACAAACCACCACAGACCTTAGCTCAACAAGCACACCAGCTTGGTGCAAGTATCAGTGCAACAGCAGGGACACTTAGAAGTAGAAGAGAAAAGACTGCATTTGTATGTCATAGCATAGATGCCATGAACTGTTCATCAACTGTTCACCAGCAGAGTTCTTCAAGGATGACAAATGCGTGTAGCTGGAGTGCCTATGAACAGTTGGAGAAGACAACTGTTGTAGCAAAAGTGATCTGTGTTGTGGAGTAAAAAAAGAGGCTTCTTAGACATCATAAACCTCCTCTTCCATGGCATGACCCACCTCTCCACAAAGTTGGTGGAAGGTGTTGCGCCTCAGGATCTCCCAGCCACGGTGAGAACTAGTCCTGGATGTGCTTCGTGACAATGACAGAGCAGAAAGATCCTTCTTGTACAGGGTGTTCCTATTGATTTCCAGCTTTTCCAAACCTTTTTCACAGTTATCCCTATCCTGAGCTTTAAATGCTTCTGTGTAGCGCATCATCTTGTGTTTGTTGGGATCAACCCTGTCTTCAACTCTGTAAGAGGATTAAAAAACATAAACTGAATGAAGTAGAAATGTGCCAGTTTGTCAACCAAACCAAGCGGCCACAAGAAGCAATCCCGTCCCAAAAATATGCCTACTGACCCAGATATTCCAGAAAATCTACATAGGAACAGGAAACAGATTATAGGCATGATGCTAGCATCTGCAAGCACACAATTATCTCCTAGACCTTCATCCCTGTCATTGACTTCAGTACCCTTATCTGCCCATGGTTTCCTGTCCTTTAACTCATTTCCCAGTCATGATTTGCCCTTTCCATTTTGCCAGATGTAAGCTGTTGGCAGACCTACTCCACCTGACTCTAGCTCCAGATCCTTTGTATATATGCATATATTCATTCATTTCCTTTGTTCTTGTCTTTCTTTCTCCGATACTCCATGGTTGCTAGATTCGCCATGTCACTTATCTTTTGCTGAACTTTTATTTAACTGCTCCGCTTCCACCAACCCTTCACTACATTACTTATAACTTGTCTTCTGAAATACTATCCCACACTATATACAAGGAACGTACATGTAATTTGACAGAACTAGATCACACCAACACTGTTTTCTCATAGCATCCAATGAAGAATTGTTGCTGGGATATTGCTCTTGCAAAATTATATTCTGCACCTTGGACTGAAGGTGTTGCATATTGGTATCACTTTAGGTCTGCTTGCTCTGCTTAGCAAACCTGAAAATCCACAATGAAAATCCTCTGCTAAAACCTGCAAAATCCTATTTCATATAGGCAACACTCCCCCTTCTGGCTTTATCAGCAAAGTTAGAAAAGTCACATGCACAAAAAAAATTTAATCTTTTCTCACCCTGGTGAGAAAATCAATATTAAATATTGATTAAAATCAGAAATAATGAGGAATCTAGATTTATATAGGCTGCAGATAGTTTGTTATTTCAGTGCCTAAACTCAAGTCCTGGACCTAAGACTTTGCCATCTGATGCAGTCTTTGCAAAGTATAATATAGTTACTAGGTTCACACCAGAAAGAAATCTTATCTTCAATTATTCCTGTTCTGGTTTTTAATCATCTGCAGTGCAGTTCATTGCTGCTGAATGCCTAATTGATCAATTTTGCCTCTGCCATTTCATGCAATTAGCAGGTAGGGAGACCCAACCGAGCACAGCACTGAAGCTTTGTGATACTCATTGTAAGAAGCTGAAAAGAAAATTCTGGCCATGTAATTTCTGGGGTCTGTCTCCTGTCACTCCTGGATAAGAAAACATCAGCTGATTTCACAAGGAATTGCACAGCAGAGCTTTCTAAGGGGAACAGTGCTTGTCTATCAGTCACAGACAGAAAGAGATTGGGGTCTGTATTCTCTAAGGGAAGGGCTCCAAACACTTGTCCCCAGGCCACTGGAAAGGTTCAGGCTCTTTATTAACATCCAGACATTGGATTCTTAGAATCATAGAATCATTTGGTCGGGAAAGACCTTTAAGATTATCAAGTCCAACTGTACCTGTCCGCTACTAAACCATGTCTCTAAGCACCTCGTCTACCTGTCTTTTAGATACCTTTAGGGATGGTGACTTGACCACTTTCCCGGGCAGCCCGTTCCAGTGCCTGATAACCTTTTCTGTAGAAGAAATTTTTTCTAATATCTAAACTAAACCTCCCCTGGTGCAACTTGAGGCTATTTCCTCTCGTCCTATTGCCCGTTACTTGGGAAAAGAGGCTGACACCCACCTCTTTACAGCTTCATTTCAGGCAGTTGTAGGGGGCGATAAGGTCATCCCTCAGCCTCCTTTTCTCCAGGCTAATCAACCCCAGTTCCCTCAGCCACTCCTCATAAGACTTGTGCTCCAGACCCCTCACCAGCTTCATTGCCCTTCTCTGGACACATTCCAGTGCCTCAGTGTCCTTCTTGTAGTGAGGGGCTCAAAACTGAACACAGTATTTGAGGTGCAGCCCCACTCTAGTGCCAAGTAGAGAGGAAGGATAACTTCCCTGGTCCTTCTGGTCGCACTATTCCTGATACAAGCCAGGATGCTGTTGGCCCTCTTGGCCACCTGGCCACACTGCTGGCTTATATTCAGTCAGCTGTCAACCAGTACCCCCAGATCCCTCTCTGCCAAGCAGCTTCCCAGCCACTCATTCCCAAGCCTGTAGCATTGCATGGGGTTGTTGTGACCTGCAGCATTGCATGGGGTTGTTGTGACCCAAGTGCAAGACCCGGTACTTGGCCTTGTTGAATCTCATACAATTGGCTGCAGCCCATTGATCCTGACTGTCCAGATCCCTCTGAATGGCCTTCCTAACCTCAAGCAGATCAACACTTAGTGTCACATGTAAACTTGCTGAGGGTATACTCAATCCCCTTGTCCAGGTCATTCTTCTTCTGGGATCCTTATGTAAACATACTAGAAGAGAACTCACCTGAGATACCATCGGTCCCCTAGCCCATATTCCCGCCCACAGATTCCAGAGCGAGGCCAGAGACACCGTGGCAGTTTCCGCTCCAGCATGACAGTAGTAGCAACAACCTTTAAAATAAAAAAAAAAGACAGAACTCAGATGAATTAGGAAAAAAATCAGACTCTTTTTCAATATTATCAGTCTCATGAGTATTGATCCATTACCATACGTCATTACAGCTCCATATGTAATGAAGAAAAATCATAGAGTCAATACTCCCTTAATTATAGGGCAATTCACTATTTTATTCCTAACTGTGCCATGTTTTGAGGAAGCAATGGTACTCTTAAAACACTGTTAAATTTCTTTCCTTTTATACCTGATGACAAGAAGTAGGGTAATTAATTTGCAAGCTAGAGGAGGGTATTTATATCTGCATTAACTATCATCAGAACTTATTGGTGTGGCCATACAACTACATTTAACCATTTGACTTATTGCTTTCTCACAGAAAAACACTAGGAAATGGATTTCCTGTTGAGCAGCTATATAACTGATCTAGCTGATTTTTTCTGCCTTTTGAGCAAGAAAGTCAGGCCAACTTCTCTCAGTGGATCTAACGACGTTACTGACCTACTTGTAATCATTATTTTGCATTCTATCTCCCCTCACTCAATCCATCTAATTATAATTTAAGTCTCAGATACACAGAAATGTGATTTGTAAAAAAAAAGGTGTAACTTTAATTGGATTTCACAAGAGATTACATGTGTAAGGAACGAACAGCTAGGGAGACACAAGATGGAAAAGAAAGGCTGGATGGGCTTCTAGCTGCTATTTGAAATAAGATAGGAATACCCGCATAGGAAAGATACACTGGAAGACAGTTTCATATGGGAAGATGTGCAGAATAGTAGTCTTGCACTTAGACACTTCAGACTCATAGAAAGGATGAAAGAAATTTGGTAGCTGATGTACAAAAGCTGTAAAACGGGATTAAAAGGATATGGCTTATTGTATTAGCTTCTGAGAAAAATGAAGGCCAGGGAAGGTTTCAAAGTACCTCCTTCAGAGCATGGATGGCAGAGTAAGTAATTGCACTGTAACTTTTCCCCTTCCTTATTCAAAGCAATCCCCCTACCATCTAAATTAGGTTACCTGGGCTCTCCAGAGCTCATCCCGCTCATGGGCCACTCTCCAATGAGTGTCACCCATCATGGCAATTAACAAGTTGAGCATAAGAAGGGTGGCAATGATGGCAAAGGCAAAGTATACCACGCTGTACATAAAGGGCAGGTCCACATCATAGTTTGCAGGGCCATCAATGATAGTGAGGAACAGCTCAAAGGTAGTGAACAAGGACATGGGATAATTGTAGAACTGCCCAAGGTTTTCAGGGTTCTCTGTCTGGAAGATGATGTAAAAAGCTAGAGGAGAGCAATGGGGAAAAAAAAGAGATAGTTTAACAACAGGAATCACATTCCAAGAGCAACAACAGGGTGCTATAAGAAATGCTGACAACAAAAAGTGGTCTGGGAAGGAGCTGCATGTGTTTCTATGCTAGTGCAGTACCTGTCATAACAAGGACAAATCCCTGACTAGAACCACAGGTCTTCATTATAAAATTACTCAGAATTACTTTGATTATTTATTTTTTCACAAAATACTGATCTTTTCTTCTTCAAGCTATGTGTGTTAATCTCATTTTCCAAAGACAGATATCATAAATGCAATATGGTTTTAAATGTTGACTTACATATATGTGGACTTATCTTTATTGTCCTAATTTCTGTTACACTGGAAAAAGCAATAATTTAAAACCAAACTCACATTAACAGAAATCAGTACTGTAAAATGACCATGCTCAAAGAAATAGAAGCTATACATCATCACCACCTTTGCTGGCTAACTCAAAGGGCAACTTGAGAAAAAAATCAAACCCCACACATTTAATTTATACTAAAGAAGTTGGCAAAGGGTAACATAATGCTGTTTTCCTTTTGGAGACTCACCTGATGCAAAGCCTAGTATCACCACAGCCATGAGCCAGCAAAAGCGCATAAGATCGCCAAATATCATCTGTAGAGCAAAGACAGAGCCACTATAAGGCCCAGCTGTCCCACCAAGCCACAATGCCATGCTATGTAAACCATTTTCCAGATTCTAAGACCATGAATGGACTAAAGGAAAATTCTGCACTAAAGAGAGAAAGTGAAAGTCCCAAACCTCCTGTGCAGACTTGTCCATTTGCCATTAATGCTAGTCCTGAGGGGGAAAAAGTATTTTTTCCATTCTCCCTATCTGCAAAGAGGTGTTAGGATGTGTGTAACAAGCCCACATTTGTTTGTGTCTTATACCTTCTGAATCATGATGGTAAAGGGTCCAAGCATCTGGAAGCCTCGTGCAAAGTACATGACATTGCACCACCCTAGCACCAGGGCAAAGGACATGGGCACCACTTCACCAGTTGTGCTGGTGAGACGCATCACCATGGTTACTAGAATCATGCAAGCATATGTGATGCTGCAAGGGAAGAAGAGACAGTTAAAAAAGTTCAGTAAAGGAATCTTACCCTCCTTTTTCTTTTCAAAAATTCCAAGACAGGCATGTATAGCCACCACCAGCCCAATAAACAGAGACCTCTCAGCACTATCAACTCTAACTGCCCACTCACCTGGCTTCCTACATACCAGCTGAGCCAGTAAGAGAAGTAAATCAAGAGAAGGAGTGCTCTAAAAGAATGGAGAAAGTGACTGATCTGGCTAAAGACAGCAGTGGGGAAAATGAGAGACAATATATTTATTAGACTTAAAAAGCAGTGTACTTACACAATTATGTGAAAAGGCCCTCCTAGGATAGTTTGTCCAAAGTATTTCGCTGCTCCAACTCTAAGGATATCTGGAATCTAAGAAAGACATCCTATTGACTTTAGGACCCAGACGGATTCGATTATACTATTAAATGTCATTGTAAACATCAGTATTCACAGGATCATTCCATTCATGGTAAGGAGAACAGAAAGTATTTGATAGCATGCCAAAGCCTTCTAATTGTTTCTTCCACACTAGTCTTACTAGTACATTGTCACAGTCTCTGTTTCATCCAATATATTGTTGACAGTGTCTATTGCCATAGGCATATATCAAAGCACTTAGACTAAGCAAATGACCCGTACCAAGTTGTGAGCAGAAACTCATGTTTGTCTAGTAAAATGTCTTGATTAAACTCGAGACTATATAGCTCACTGTTTCTCTTACCTCAAGGATCAAAATTACTACAGCTCCAATGACTGTAATCAGCTCCCCCACCAGCCTCAGCTCATCCTCATATGTCATATAGGATTCCTGGAAAAAAAAAAAAACCAAAGAGTGAAAGGAAATTAAAATTAAATTTTAAAGGGAGTGAAAGGAAATTTAAAAAAAGGATGAGGAAAAGTGTAATAAACATGAGTAGACATGACAAGGACACAGGAACCGGCCCAGCCCCAGCAACAGAGAACAGAGCATACCCCATGTTCCTCACTGACAAAGGTCATCTGGCGGAAAGAGGACAGCTGCAGTAGCTGACAACTGGGAAAGGCTTCCAGTTAAGTAGGTTAGATTAGAATGGCACAGTGCTGCCTATGGGGTCCTGACTCCTATAGACACAGTACCTGTAGCATTTTCTGGACATAGATTGTATTGTCTCTGCTACTTGTTTTGTTGCCCATTCGGGGTTTCAGTGGTCGGTAGACACAGCACATAGTGAAGCAGACCATGTAGAGTATATAGAATAAAGCCAGGAAACAGAAATAGGGACGGCCATACATATTCCACTTCAGGCTCACCAGCTCCTTCACAGGTGTTAGGTCCAAGATCTGGCGTGCCTGAGAAAGAAATAAAGAAAGAAAGAAGGAATTAATTGCCAAAAGGACATTTGTTTATAAGCATCATTCACACTGTTTCCTGGGAGAATGTTAACAAACTATTCTCACCTATTCTATTCAGCATTAGGAAGCCAAATTTATTTTGCAAAAATGGAATGCTCATATGGGTTTGGATTTGCTCATTTTGCCAGTAAAGAGCTTTGAAAAAAAGTAAAAAACATATCCTGCAGAGAACAGCTTTTGAGTACCACTGGGAAGTGCAAGAGAAACATGTTAGATACTGGAATAAGTTTGTTGTCTGTGTAGGCATGGATGCATATAAACACTTGAGACAGACCTATGATATAGGTCCATGACGATGTGTTACAGAAAATAAAAGGTATATACAAGCTGGAGTTGGGATTCTGTCAAAGATATGCATATATCCATACATACTGTGTAGCTGAGGAATTCTATACAAAAAAAGAAAACATCATCAAAAAAGTCGAGACCGTAGTTTTAGAAGTGACAAAGAGGCTCTATAAAAAGTAAGAGCAGTGGAGTTATGAACACTGAAGGGAAGAATCATCTTCTATCATACCATCCCATTTCAAAACTAACAGGAAGAATCCAGAAAGTTTCTCAAGTGCCCTCATGGTCGATCTGGTTGATTTGCATACATGCATATAAAGGACAAAGAAAATACAGTGAGAAGATATGGAAAAAAAAAATTCAACATCCGTTCCTCTGTTGAACATTGCTAATCTATGCCTCTGAGTGAATCTATTGATTTGCTTCTGGAATAACAAATACAAAATTTGGAAAGATCAATGTCACTCCACTCTTTTAAATTGTTTTCCTAGGAAAAGATGAAATTGTGGCTACATGAACTATCTAATAAATATCATTACTTCTTCCTACAAACTTTGCCTCATCTATGTCCTTAGAGTATCACTACTACAAGTAAGGCCATCACATAACTTTAGGCACGAAAAGGAGGTATCTTCATTAGTGATGTGGTTATCCTAAGATTTCTCTCCTTGTAGGCAATAGGGTCCTACAGGCTGCCATTCATCTCACCTAAGATCTAAATTAGTTACTTGCATTTCTTTATCAACCACATGTAAAACTTAGGGAATCTGTATTGCTTAATTAAACGCCTCAGTTGGATGCTACTGACTCAGGTTATCAAGGCCTCCAAGATCTGCAGTAGCTGAAGAGCTAGAACTCTACTTTGGAATCAAATGGATCACCTTGAAGTATTTTCAAAACAAAATTTCTCTTAAATCCAGTTATAAGCCATATTCTGTTAAAATGAAACAAAGGTATTTTGTTTATTGGCACCTGCAAGCCCAGAAAATGCGCATGGACTCTTTTTGTGTTTTCCCATCATCTCGTTATAACTGTTTAGGGTCCATTCCCAATCTGGAAGAAATCAGTATAGCTGAACTGAAGCTATAATTGTAATGGTTTTCTACAGATGAAGACTGAGCCTGTAGTCCTTCGTCTGTCTTCCATATGAGGAAGTATAATTTCTCTCGATATAAGTAGAAAATGTAAATACTCAAAAATCTAGAAACAGGACTATGGCTGGTATTTTTATGAAGGATCAAAGTTTGCTTTGTAGGTCAAGGGTCCTGGTCTACTCCAGAGATAGTCAAAAGCAGTTGGATTCAGCTACTTTAAGACAGTCAGTATTATTTCATTTGCAGTTTCTCTACCTACAAAAAAGGGAAATATTTGGCCATTCTCACAGAACATAAGCAGGGCTCACATGAGCAATAAGCTACTTTTACAAGAATCCTTTTTGAGGTTGCCAACCAAACACCAAAATGTCAACAAGGCCTTTTCTGTAAAAGGGAAACAAAGATATATATATAATTGATTGGAATTTACCCTCAGTTCTGATGGCATCTTGAGGGTAAAACAAAAGAGTAACAACTAATATTCGTCTGATAAACCTTTGAAAAGTTTTTGTTTTGTGTGGGAACATAGAACTGAGGATGACAGAATATTCCTGTTAGTACAGCAATACACATCTTTTGTAGCAGATGATTTAGGATAAGAAAATTGGAACATTTTTCCAAATGAGATTAGTACTTGTCTAAAGCTCCCTGGCTTATGTAAAAGTATTACATTTTAAGTTTCTGCATTATTATCTGGGTGATACTTAATTGAATCATCTATATCAAGCCTTCAGCTTCTGCTAGAAGACTGACCCTTAAGAGCATAAGTAGGACAAACAGCATGTACTTTACACATTGCTTATGAATTTGACCCACAGATTTTATGAAATGCTTCTAGACTTAATTGCTATTGTAATGTTTAGGGGACCACTGCAATAAGCAAGAAGGAGATGTAAATCAAAGCGGCATGAGTGGGTTACTTCAAAGGAAAACTTGTTGCACTCTATGTATTTTCCTCCTTTTGCTGCATTGCCCTGTTTCCTCTAAGTAGGCCAAAGACACATTGCACAAAGTGCAAGGAATATGGATGTTTCAGTAAATGGACATGTCTCTTGAATGGACTAAGAAATATTCCAAGGGATCAAAAGGCAGTGAGAGATAATGAACCTAGCTAGATAGCTTTAGGTGTTTAGTTTTGTGTAGAAGTCAGTATTATAGAATTCTTTGCATATGAGAGTAAATTTCATTTTCAAAAGGATGATACATGTTTAGAAGCTTACTATAATCTTCCTGTAGCTTAAGTCCCTTCTATTTTTGACACTTTTTACCCACTTAAGGGTCAGAAAATATATCTTTGTATCTATTTGTGTATGCATCCCCCTTAATATAAGAGGAAGCTGCTTCTGATTGGGGCCTAAAGATGCTACTCTAGTCCAGTACTGGACTGGGAGGGTATGATAGGATGAAGTGACACACTGCATTCTTCTAGAGGAGACAGCAAACATTTTGGACCAAATATATACCAAATACAATGAAGAATTTCTATTTAGGCATGCAAAAATTGCAATTACACATAGTTAAAAGAATTCTGGAAAATAAAGAAATCATAATATCTCATAGTATTTGGAGACATCTTATGTTCTAAAATTAGGAAACTTGGATCTACATGCACTGTATGTTTTGGGATAAGACAGAGGCACAATATTTTTATTTCTTTTAGGTTTATGGTTTAGTCTTTTGGACAACTTCTAAGGTTGTTATTTTTTTTTTTTTTTTTGGCATAGACTTCTTTCCCCTGAATTTCTGTATGTGTCACCATGCATGGAAATTTAGAGGATTTTAAATAAAAGCAAATGAGAATTTCAGACTTTCTCCACATTGTGCAAAGCTCTCCATTAGCTGAAAATTTTCTTAGAAAAGTTTGACTAAAATTTTGGTAGATGGAAATGATACAGGACAGGTAGAATTGTGCTTATTAAAGTGTCTTCTGATTAATTTCCTGTCCTCTTAGGATTATTTAAGGTGATTAAAACTGATAGGGTGGTGTACCTTGAAAGTTCTAAGCAGATCTGTCTAAGCATGCCATTGCACTCTGCTATTTTTATCTTAGTCATCCTTTTACAAGTTTTTGAGCCTACAGCAGAGATAATTCTCCTACTTTGTTTTGAGTCAAAACCTGTACAAGCAATGACATTAAATGAAGGGAAGAATAATAATGAGTGGTTTTAAAATGCATTTCAGTTTAGGATTTCTGAACATAGTCATGTCTCACAGGGACATTGTGAGACTTCATCAGTATCACAGTTATAGAAAGCTACTTGCTGGTGCTGCTCTGGAGCTTCTTATTATTGATACCTTTGAGCCAGATGAAAGAGAGAGAACCCTTTACTGAATCACACAATGTCATTTCCTGTAGCTTGCTCATTCTAAGTTCTTTCAATCATCTGCAATTTTTGCACCTCAGAAGAAACTGTGTGTAAAGCATCAGATGTAGCCAGATCATTAAAACATTGCTACATTTCATGAATTTCCTGCAGCACATGGTACAAAGTCCTTGCTGTATGGATAATATGAAGCTTGAACCTTCAAACTTTTCATTCTTCTCTTTTTGTAATCACCATGGTTTGCACATAAGAAAGCATGTGGTACCCACAGTACCTCTCTCTTCTTGGTTGAGACAATGAGCTCAAGGAATGACTGATCTTCAGCCCAGGAGTCAATCTCTGTAAGATCATAGAGCACAGTAGTCAAGGGGCCAAAGGACCAGAGAATGTGCTTTCGCTTCTGCATAAGGTATTGAAACATCTGTGGAGAAAAGAAGGGGGTGGAGGATATCAGAAGCTTTCCAATCTATAGCATATTTGCAATGAAAACAAAGTTGTTTTAAACCCTGAATTACAATGTATTTTCCTTGAATTTATTGGTTGTGGTTCTCATATCTCTCAGAAGCAATTATAACAGGTTAAGAAGTGGAGGAACTTTTTCTCACTCCCATTTGATTATTAGTTCGTGCTTGAGGTAAAGGATGAGTGACTTTTATTCTAAATTCTAATCAAACTGCTAAAGTTATTTGATACAGTTATACATCTTGACAATAGGTTTCATATGGAACTATATGTTGATTAGATAAAAAAATTCTTTTATACTCTTCTACAAGTTATCAGGAAAGAGGTATGGCAAGGGAAATGATCCTGTCCTTTGTGGATCTACAGAAGAAACGCTAACCGTCTTTGTCTTTTTGTTAAGGGGACGGATGAGAGTTCTTGACTATGAATAAATATCTGTGGATACCTGAAGAAGTTTCCTGTGTGCCACATTAAGGGTAATGAAATCTAGACAACAGAGACAATAATTTCAGTTAGACTTCTAAAAAATTATTTGGAGTGGATCTTTCTGTTAATACCTGTTAAACTCAAATGCTCAAAAATTGGCTCAAAAGAGCACTCGTTTCTTCTATTAGGATAAAGAAATTTTTTATATAGGTTTTCTGGTCCCACATGAGACTTCTGGCAAAAAAAAAAAAGAAGGACTTCACAGAATCACAGAATCGCAAGGGTTGGAAGGGACCTTGAGAGATCATCTAGTCCAACCCTCCTGCTAAAGCAGGTTCACCTAGAGCATGTTACACAGGACTTCATCCAGGTGGGCTCTGAATATCTCCAGAGACGGAGACTCCACAACCTCCCTGGGCAGCCTGTTCCAGTGCTCTGTCACCCTCAGAGTAAAGAAGTTTTTCCTCATATTCAACTGAAACCTCTTATGTTTCAGTTTGTACCCATTGCCCCTTGTCCTGTTGCTGAACATCACTGCAAAGAGTCTGGCTCCGTCCTCATGACTTCCATCCTTAAGATATTTGTATGTATTGATGAGGTCCCCTCTTCAGGCTGAACAAGCCCAACTCTCTCAGCCTTTCCTCGTAGGGGAGATGCTCCAGTCCCTTAATCATCTTAGTTGCTCTCCTCTGGACTCTTTCTAGGAGTGCCTCATCTTTCTTGAACTGGGGAGCCCAGAACTGGACACAGTACTCCAGGTGGGGTCTCACCAGGGCAGAGTAGAGGGGGAGGATAACCTCCCTCGACCTGCTGGCCACACTCCTCTTGTTATGTATTTTCTACCCACTAAGAACATATACAAACTTGCTTGGTCTGGATGATGTTATTTCAAGCTCTGTGTTCCTGAATAACGTCTTCTCTATGAAGGCAACTGTGTCAAACTCACCACAGTGTTACCCTCGACTCCAGCCAGTTTGAATGGAGTAAGCCCCTCATTGTTAGGAATCAATTCAATTGATCCTGGTCCTTCTTTGTTCCTGTCATAGGAAAGTATCAGGCTGTACATGTGGCAGGCAAATGTCTTATTGGGTTGGAGAACCAGGATGTGAAGAACAGTGTTACCTACAAAGGAAGCAGATGAGATAAAGTATATGGAATAGCCCAGCCTTGTGCAAGGACTGGCAATTGACTGATGCCATTAATAGTGGCTATCATTTTCCTCACATCCCTCATCCCACAGCTGTTTGTAATGAGAGAAGAATATGTGCATGCACAGATGACAGAGCCTGATTTAAAGTGTCCAGATCCACTGTATGCAATTCACTAGGCCCCACAGCACATACCCAGATAGTCTTGAGCTCTAATGTCAGCTCCATTTTCAATGAGCAACTGTACAATTTCCTCATTTCCCACACAGGCAGCAAATGATAAAACATGCTCTCCTGCAAAGAAAGCAATGGGGAGAATCAACATTAAGACCCTAAGAGGCAGGAGAGGTTGAAGCATGCTGAGGGAAAGCTATCCCTGCTATGAAGCCAGAGGTTATGAAAGGAAGATCTATTTCAGGTAACCTGTAAATTTCCTGCCCCACTCCTCATCCTACTCAGAAAGGAAAAGAAGACCCACCCCACACAATACTAAAAGGAAGAAGTATTCTTTTCAGATTCTCTTCATAAGAAGTTTGACAAGTAAGTTGCAGTATATGGAAGAAATTAAATTATAATTCTTATGCAGTATATATTTTATACATGCAAATATATAAAATGTGTATGATTTATATATTTATATTTATGCAGCATTTACAGACTCAGATGGAGTCTTGCTGTCTGCTAAAAGGTGTATGACTGATGGCACTTGGGAACAGGAGCCTCTGCTTATCAGTTTAGATGGTGACTAAAGCAAGCCTCCCCTATATTCCCTCATCACTCTGCAGGTTCCCTCCCATAGCAGCAAGGGGAGAAGATAAGAATGTACCAAAATAGAGAAGATTCTGGGAGCTGCGCCTGAAGAAGTGCCCAGTGGCCTGTCCTGTGCAGGCATTGGCCCCTCTCTTGAGTAATGCCTTCACCAAAGTGATGTTCTGGTTCACTGCTGCAATGTGGAGAGCTGTCTGCCCTGTAAGACACAGAAATAAAACCTTGCCTTCCAAGAATGCAACTTCTGGCTGATCAGTAGCCTGCAGTTCACATTTCATTTATGATAAATCGAAGTTTTTTGGAACTGCATTCATAGTGGCTATATAATTTAGCTTTGAAGTTATCCCTGTTGCGTGCAGAAGGTTGGACTACAGGTTTTCCAGAGGCCTCATTCTATTTAAACCTTTCATGAATTCATGAAAACTGGCTTTACAACCTGCCAAAAAAACCAACAGGACGCACTTTCTAGATTTTTTTCTGGGGGGAAACAAGACATGCCATGCTCTTCCAAGAAACACACTGAAAGCTCATGTCTCTCAGAAAGGAGTATGCTTTTCTTCATGGGACATGAAGGCCAGGTCAAGATAACACTCCCAAAGAAGACTTGCTCTAATCCATCAAACTAGGTATTAGAATTTTACAACTCCATCATTATAATTTTAGTGGTTTCAGGATTGTCTGGCATTTGTGTGTAGCCAGTCAGAACCATTCTTTAAAAACCTGGCTCAGAGTCTAGACTCAAAAGCAGTGGCCACATTTTCTTTCAATCCCTATTCTTTGTCAACCAAAGAACTACTTTTTCTCCTTTCAGAGGAGATCAGGTAAGTGTACCCTTTGTTACACATGACTATGGCAGAAAGCAAACTGTACATATCCTTGCAATCCCACTATGGCCAGCTGGCCCACCTGTGGTTAAAACTTTGTCAATTACACATTTCCATGTTTGCATATGCATGTACTTGGGTTTAATATAATTCCCCCTTCCACAAGTTGTCAGGAGCTATTTGTATGTTGGTTTTACTATATAACAGTTTAGCAATATATTGAACCAGAAACTCTATAAGCAACTTTCCTAAATCATAGAATCATAGAATGTTTTGGGTTGGAAGGGACCCCTAGAGGTCATCTAGTCCAACCCCCAAATATACAGGTAGTATTTCCTCCTCCACCCTGGAGAGAATCCCACCCATCCTCATTCCCTGAGATGTTACCTTCGTAGAGCTCTGATGTCATCATCTCATTGACAAGCTCCGGAGCTGCTTCCATCAGAGTCACTGCAGCCTCCACATTATCATACAAGGCAGCTACATGAAGGGCAGTCTCCCCCACTGCACCTAAAAATTGTAGGAAAAGCATATGAGTCATCTAGACATTCAACTATATGGGACAAAAGCAGAAATGGATTTATTGGGGTGGAAAATCATGGGAGTGCTAGGTCCCCCCTTGAGTACTGTCAGGTGCTGCCTCATCATATGACATGATAAGAGCCACATAACTTTCTGACCTTCACCCCATCAAAAGCTGAAAGCTGAACAGAGACTTCAGGTGTTCTTAAGTGACAGGAGACTAAGGCATGAAGTGAATGAGCACACAGCCCTTCCACTGACCACCTTCCACCGTAAACCACCTCCTTCAATTCTTCTAGAAAAAAGGCCCATTCAAGCTGCAAACCTCTGATGTCACCATTCCTTTAAGGTTTGATGAGTTCTCCAAGTTAGAAAGCTCACTTTGTTGCAAAGCTGCTGACATACAGTTAAGTAGTTTGAGTCTGCTAATGCAAATGTTTTAGCAAACTAAGAAACATACTACTCTACTCACTGTATCAGGCTCTTGCCTTCCACAGAAAATCATTTGTAGCAAATAATCGAGTTACCTCTCTGATATATATCACATGTTCCATCAGTGAGAAGTTTCCTAATGGCTGGAAGGTTGTTCTCTTTGGCAGCCTGGAGGAGTGGGGTTTCCCAGATCCTGTAGTCAAGAAAAAGTGGCTGATAAGAAACACAGTCAAACACATGGTGTCTCTCTCCAGAGCTAGCACGGCCTTTTCTTGAGACAGTATCTATCTTCAACATTTGCATTTAAAGATCAGCAATGTACACCTATTATCTGAGGTATTTTTTGAATACACAGAAAAAAAAAAAATAAAAAGAACCGGCAAAAGCAAACAAATGCAGTGTTAAAAATCCAGGTAGTTCATCATCCCTTGACTTACTGATGCTTAACCATACGGTGGCAGTCGAGGGAAAGATAGGAGAAACAAATAACCAAAATATTTCTGGTTTATACAGCCCACATTTTGAGGCACAGCAGACAGCAAACAACGGGTCATTTGGTACTCCTCCTGCCAATGGACTAGCTATCTCAGGAGCCAGAAAAAGGCAGTCAGTTTTTTATACAGCACAATAAATTAAAAAACAGTCAGCATCTGAATTACTCCTGTAATGGATGGAAAAGAAAAAGTACAAACAAGAATTGTCCCCATGTCATAGCAATGCTTTCTATGGTATAATCTATGGTATTTTTTTCTCTGATGTTGAGAAAATTGAGGAAATTGTGGAGAACAGAAATGTTTGCCTGAAAGAGCATGTCATCAAACAAGTTCCAGACTGAAAAATTCACTTATAGTTGAATAAGGCCCTTCGGTCTTCCATGAGGCTCTGGCTTATTTCAGTAGATCCTTTGGGGCTGATGAAAAGTTTACAAGTACAGTCACCAAATTTCACTACAGCACAGTCCTTTGATGCAAACAGCAGGTCAAGGGAGGTGATCCTCTCCCTCTGCTCAGCCCTGGTAAGGCCATACCTAGAGACCTGTGTCTAGTTCTAGGATCCTCAGTACAAAAGACATATGGAGCTACTGGACAGAGTTCAGCAAAGGGACACAAAGATGATTATGGGACTGGAGCATCTCTCATGTGAGGAAAGGCTGAGAGAGCTGGAACTGTCTAGCCTGGAGAAGAGAACTCTGGAGGGGTTCTTATCAATGTGTGTAAGTACCTGAAGGGAGAGTGCAGAGTTACATGCGATGCCTGCTTACTCAGCATCCAAATAAGCTTTGCCAATGTTCAAAATATTGAGTTGGCCACCCAAAAATCACAAAAAATAAAACAAAATCTTCCAGTCCAGGGTAAATATTTCTGTTATCCTTGAATAATTTTGATTTATCTTTTAATTCATAGGAAGTGTTTTGTTTTGGTTTTTTGTATAAAGAATTCTAAGTATCCCAAGTTCAGGAGCTAATGATTTAAGGGCAAGAAAGACCCTCAAACCCAAAGAAACAGCCTACATCTCATGAATTTTCAGTATGAAATAGAAACAGATTCCTTCCTCCAAGTAGGATAAGTTCTATTTTAGATCTCTGTTCAGATGCAAATTTTGTGCTTTTATCTCACCTCTGCTTTCTTGTAGTGCAGATGTTTAGTTTCTTCTTAGTTATCTAGCATGGCTCAGGTCAAGCTCTACTGTGTGATGTGGAATAAGTCTAAGGAACATGGTAGAACAATGACAAATCAAAGTTGATATGAACAAGGAGAACGTCAGCTCTCATTTTCCTACCAGCCCCAGTCTGTCCTTTTGCGACAATCTAATAATCACCAATAGACTGGATCTTAGTCTCACACACACACAAAAAAAAAGCGTGTGGGAAAAATACATTAGTCAAGCCATATACCTGGAGATATATTCGATGCTTTCTCCTTGTGATGTCCCAGATTTCTTCCTTGTATTCTGGCACTATTTGGTTACAAGATTTTGGGGGTACAGTTTGTAGGGCAAATACTATATAAAGCAATAGGTGTTTTGCATTAAGTGATAACACTGATGTTAGAATACATTATTTATGAATATACCTCTATTATAAGCCACAAGAAAACCCACATCAGAGAAAGAGACAGAATATAAATGGCCCATTGCATAAAATGTTTCTCAGAACTTGTGCTTATTAGATATAGGATAATTTAACAATAAAACCATAGGAAGGCAGGCAACATAAGTTCTGTGGCTTACAGAAATATATATATATCTTGCTTTAAATTATTCTTCTATAAAAGATAGAATCTTGTAGGAAAAAAAATGTTATGCCATTATCTCTGGATTTAATCCAGCTGAAATGTGCAAGTTCTGCACACCTTTATAGCAGAACGATACTGACACAATTGAGAAAACTTGGGGGATAAAGCAAAACAAAGAGAAGTATCAGAATTACACAGACAAAGGGGAATAATTTGAATAAGTGTAAATTAATGGGCATGGGCTACAAGTAATAAAAGCATAACTGAATACTGTATTTATCATTCCATAAAAGGACCATTTCCTGTCACCAACAGCACCCCATTATCTAAGTCAGTAGAAACTAGACTAGAAAAACGCTGAAGAACAGAGGAGAAATAAAAACATTCAGAATATAAAGAACTATCCTAACCAAACCAGGGAGCCATTCTGAGATATTTTTATGTGTCCTTCAAAATCTCAGCCTTGCTGTTTTGAGAAGTATTCCTTCTTTAGTTTACTCATGTGTCAGTTGTTAGTTGCCAATTACAGGATGATTTGATGCGAATATTGCATGTAGGAGCAGACAAATAGAAACAAAATAAAGAGGTACTCTGAGCAAGTGTTCTAAGATTCAATATCTGTGAAGCAAGCTTGCCACCTCTGCCAGTATTTTGGCTGAGAAAGACTCTGTTCCTGAAGAATTTAAGTTTCAGAGGCAGGAAGTGGGAAGGAGGTGGGGTTTCAATAGTATAAACAATGCTACAATTAATATGTTGATGCTTTACTGGGTATGCCTTTATCCCTCAAATGACCTCAGAGAGGAGGAAGGATTGGGTAAGAGACAATGTAGGAGGACACAAACACAATACCTTTCTCACAAAATTCTCCAAAGCCCTTGTAAACAACTGACTAAATTACAAACCTGCTAAGAGGGAGACACCTAATAACTATACTCAGCTTTCAGAAATTTAGTGCGAAATTGTCAAACCTTTCTACTATTGTATGAACCTCCAACCGGGCTTAAATAAACAGAGATCCTAGGCCAAAGAGCAAGCAAGAACCCCAAAGTGTTGGTAAATGTCATGGCACACTGCCTCTGATGCCTCAAAGGTCCATGACTTACATGTTTATACCATACGCTTTTACTCTCATTTAATTTTCTGTCCCGTAACTGGGGAAGCATTTTACTCTCATTTAAACATACCATTATTATTATCAACTCATTTTTAATACATTACAGCAATGTGCTGAGTATACATATGTCAAGTACTAGGTGAGTCAAATTCACTAATATAAAAAATAAAACAGTCATCCAAATCTAGAACCTTAAAAACAATTTATTTTCTTCAAGTTCTGGATATTTAGCCATTTTTCTTCTTGACCCATCAAACACCACATGAATTTTACATTTTACAACTCTAGTTCCTGTGTGTCAAAGCAGTAGCAGGTAAAATCTGTAACTTAGTCTTTTAACAGAGCTGCCTACAGTAGATGCTTAGTTTCCATAAAGTACCATTGAGTCACTAGATGGAGAAGGTGGTTTTCAGAGAATGATTCAACAGACACCTATTTAGACACTCTGAGAAGATAATTCAGCACATCTAAGTTAAGCTCCTGTGATAAATCATTCTCTTCATTGGCTATGCAGTCAAGGGACACTAAGCTCATAATTTAGCCAGCTAAATTAAGTCTGTAACACTAGGCAGTACTGATATTACCTTATAGGATCAGTTTAGGATAAGAACAGCTTCAAGCTAACCAGTAGTTATGATGAGCAATGAAAACCACAGCAGTATCCACCTGGAAGTGCTCCTGGGTTCTTTTTACTGAGCTAAGGAATGCAGCTGTCTTGAGGCACTTGGTAAGCTTTGATCACGCATTACTATCAGTCAGATGATTCAGTGATATGCTTAGGAAGCTGTGAGTTGTTTTTCAATATAGGTGAGAACAAAATCAGGAACACCCGAAAATCTATTGTGAAACAAAGAGAAGATAAACTGTAAGTCCGATTCTGACTGAGGGAATAGTGTAAAATAGTTTTAAACAAGATTAAGGCTTTCATAAGCACTTTCTGCTGGTAATATGTATCCTTTTGGATTTACATCTTCTTAAGCACTTCTTTTAGAGTGCATCCTGCTCATTATATTTATGAAGAGATAAAGAACGTGAGGACAAGTCCGTAAGTCTTAACTCTGTTATAAAAAGAATTTGGATTTATAGGGTTATTCTTCTAAAATAAGGAAATATGTTAAATATGTGAACTGTCTGGACAACAACCAATCTGAAGCTTCTTTTTCAAGACTGAGCTCACCAAAGGTGCAACGAAGCACCTCTTTCTCCTCTTTACTTCCCTTCTCAGATTCTACTACTTGAGTCATTCACTGTATGGAAATTTCCTATTGTTTGCTCTAGTTTAAGTTTGGCATTTGCTAGCTTCATGCTTTATACCCGTAGCTATGTCAGTGACTGAGGGTCTAAAGCAAGCCTTTCTAACTGGGCTATAAAATTATCATCAGCATATTATTTCAGCTCTTTTCTTTCCTTGCTGTGCTGCTCAGTTTGTCAGCATCATCAAATTGCCAAAGGAAATCCATCTTCTCCCTTCCTTCTGCTAGTATGTTTATGTAGTTGTGTGCAAGACTTCAGGAGAGCAGAGGAGTGCTCAGAGGAAGCTAACCAGACAGAAAGAGGAACAATGCAATCATCTAACAAGATGCTAAGGAATTACTTAGGAAGTAAAGGAGTAAAGGAAGTTGAAAAGGTGACAGGTAATGGGCTTGGACAATCAACACAGGGACAGGGCCAGCAAATTTCTTCAGCACTGACAGTAAGTCTCAGCAAACTAACTGGAGCATCTTGTGCATGTATGTTGAAGCTTCTTCAAGCCAACAGCAAACAGAGCTTCTCTGGAAATAAATTAAACCTGTTACTAATTGCTAATGCTACTAGACAAGAAACTGATACAGAAATCTTATCCCTTCAGATATTTAGCTATCTACCACACTAAGCAATAGAAATCTTGCTCGGTCACTTCCTGATCTAGTTAGTGGTGTCCCTGATCACTGCAGGGGGGTTGGACTAAATGACCTCTAAGGGTCCCTTCCAACCCAAAACATTCTATGATTAATCTTTTCTTAATTCTGAATCTGAGACCATCCTAAAAATAATCTCATGATAGAATTGGATTAACAGTTCAGCAGATGTTAAGTTATTGTTTATTATCACTAAGTTATTCATAAAACAAATTTGTTCTCTGAAGCATAACCTCATCCTGCATGAAAACTTCCAACCCTCTTCAATGGGGATTTTCTTTCAATTTTATTCTAGGTTGTGTTCCTCACCCTGTGTCTAATTAGTTTTCTCTAATAACTTTTTAATTTGGGGTGAGTTTTTTTCAGAGCACAAATTTCATGTTTATTTCTTCGCAAGGAAACCTATAGCCAAGTTTAAGGCGGTAAATAGCTTCCTAAATCTATGAGGCTAAACCACGTCTTAGGCACTGAGGTCAGATGTATGTACGCCTGTGCATTGTTGGGGAAATGTGACTTCTGGAGGACCTTTACACTTGTGAAATTTAGGAGGCTTGTTTTCCATTATTAGACTCAAAACTTCCATTAGGATGAAGGTGTAACAGCATAAGAAAAGACCAGAAATGCTGCCAGTGAAGCCTTTGTCTTTAATTTACATGCAGCAGCAGAGTTTCCAACCAGCTGTGCTTTGCATCTCGACTACTCAGAAGCACTGTTACCAAAACATATTACAAATGAAGTGGTGGAACTCGGAGCTGGCGTCTTTATTTCACGGTCACCTTTGGGAGCAAAAGGAACCAATGAATACTGACAGGCATTGTGGATTTTAAGACAGGACAGTCCTACATTAATTTGTGCACTGAAAACTCAGTAATGTTGTTTAGACAAATGAACAGCAAAACTATGGTGACATCTCTCATTCACTACCAGCTTGAGATTTGTCTAGAAGCTGAAGGCTCTCTGTGTGCCTGTACATCTCTTAAGCAATTCAGTTTAATAGTTTTAGGCTGAGCTACTTTTTATTTGTGCCCTGTTTGTTTCCAGGGTAAGCAAAGCACTTCGTGAATATGTCTGTGAGGCTAAAGAGCCACAAAAAAAAAATCGGAAACTGAACGGAATATAAAGTTTTTACTATGACATGTTTGGAATGACCACAGCTCTCCAAGTTACGCAAATTGTCCCAAGAACCTCTAATGCATTATTTCTCATAGAACAGACTTCTACAGTTAATAAATGTGTAAAAATGATTTGGTTTTTTTTGGATTTTTTTTAAGATACACCACACAAGTTAAATGCTTTATTGTCATTAGAATTGCTAAGCCTCAGAGCATCCCACAGAGGCAAGGTGATACCATTAATCCCTAAGCAGCAGCTGTGAGAGAGGAGACAGACAGAAGATAGATTATTTATCAATCAAAGTTACAAAGGTAGGCAATAGCAGAAAGAAAAACATAACATAATTGTCCTGGATCCATGTACTCACTTGCTTTTATTTGTTAGTTATTTTTTATGAACAATGCAATTCTCATATGGTGGAATTTCTAAAATTACATCTTAGGGAGATTTTGTTCACATTGCCTTAGAATCTCTTACATTGAAAGCCAGACTAAAAAAAATAAATGAAGCAATGGCTCTCAGAGTTTCTGGAAGATCTATTAGACCATGACAGGCATGTGATTCCTCTTCACCTCTACCAGGCCTGAATTTTCATAAGTATTTCTCTCTTTGTTCCTCATCATTATGACCTATATTGGGGTTTTATGTTCATATGCTCCAGGCTGTGTAGATCCCAGAGTTTACTTCCAAAGATAATTCTAGAAAGGACGTATGAGAGGTGACTACTGTCCCTGGGACTCCACACTGAGCTACAGGCTGTTTAAAAAGGAAAGCCTTAAACATAAAGAGACTAGCAGAGTAAGGCAAAATAAACTCTAAATATTAGGAGATTGCGTCACATTTCCTGAACTTGGATGTCCCTTTGGGAAATGTTATACAGTGCAGGATCAAGTCAAAGGAAACCCTCACTGTGGATAATGATGAGATCAACTGCCAGTAAGAACTATTACACACGAAGAAAGAGAATGAACAGCAGTTCCAGTGAAGGTGAGAACTACCAAAACAGTTAGCTTTCAGGTATTATCATGACCAGTTGTAGGACAGGAAAAAGGATTGTTCTTCTCTTGCAGACTTTCTGTGTGCAGCCAGAGCATACTAGTTAAATAGTAACGTATTTACCCCAGGCTTTCAATAAGATAATAGTAGAATTTAATTGCCACTTATTAATGCATGTATTCCAGCACCATTAACTAAGAAGAACTCAAGCTGAAGCCGCAACGTGGCAATTAAACACAACAGAATGACAGGATGAAGTAAAAGCCCTCTTGGCTTAACAACAGTTTTTTTCCACAAAAGCGAAGGTTTTATAAGAGTAGTTCCCACATACAAATCACCACAGAAGGTTTTCCTGTTGTGTTTTTCTAGCTGTACATAATTAAGAAATGAAAGCAATAAAACAGTCCTCTGTGAAATGTTGATTTTCTTTCTCCTCAAACTCTGAGCATCTCTGGGCTCAAGAAAGGAAAGGAAAGGAAACAGTAGAATAGTAAGAGAGAAGAATGGTCCTGTCCCTCCTTAGGAAAAGAGTATCCACATATTGGCAGCATGTAATTTCTGACCAAATAGCAGAAGGCTAATTTATGTTAGTTGAAAGCTGTAGGAAACATATACACCTAAAATGGAAGGGAACAATTGTGTCCCCATGCAACTCTGATTTCACAGACAATGATATCGTATGCAGTACATGTGTTTTATGCAGAGTTTTATGAAGAAACAAAGAAGTGTTAGCTTGGGGAACCACTGGACTCTATACAGTCTATAGTGATCTAAGAGAAGTTTATGAAGATGGGTTTATATGCCTAATAGTTTTTCTGTTTTCCTCTATCAGTAGCAACACACAAGATGTTCATGGGCCTGCAGCACATGATTAATGAGGATTGTCAAGCAAAGAGAAGGTTGAATGGCAATCTAACAGCAGACTACGTGAAAGGGAGCAGCAAAAAGGGGCCAAACCTTCCTTGGTAACAGCAGAAGGTAAAACAAGGAGCTACAGCATCAAATGATGATTTTGGAGGTTCAAGTTAAACATAAGGAAAAAAAAAACTTTTTTCACTAGGAGGTTACTAGGTTACTACAACACTGTAAGCAGTACCTAAAGATACGGTGGAATCTCTGTCCTGGGAGGCTTTCAAGACTGAGCTAGACAAAGCCAAAGCAATGTGATCTATTGCTGGCAATAGTCAGCTTCAAGTGGGAGGTTAGACAGAGACCTTCAGAGGTCCCTTCCACATCTCTATGACTTAAAAATGTGAAGATAATGTTATAATTATAAAATATTTCTATATTTAGACTTTTCTTTTGCACACATTCATTTATTTGGATATTACAGAATCTGCTGATAACTTATTTTTCAGTTACCTGTGATGCTTTTCATGAACATACCAAAATGTAAACACTTCAGCATTCTGTGGACACTATTGTTCCCACTGTCCCTCCCACTTTAAGTGTATTTAAGTCCCACTGCTCCAAAGTAAAATAGAACAGACTTTTGTTATTTGGTGACAAGTTAGATGATGATATACATAAATTCTTTTCCTAAAGACAGACATGTACATTTGTCCCACTTAAGGTACTACCCTACTTATTTCTATATATATATGTGTGTATACATACATACATACACACATACAGATAGATAGACAGATTTTGTCCCACACAGCCACCTTTTTGTCCACAGAGATATTCAGAGTTTTGTGAGGAAAGAAAAAAACAAATTTTACAAGGGACTGGAAGAAATCTGTTATTTGAGTACTGCAGTGTGTGTGCATGCAAAAATGTATGCACACTCCTGCATTCCTCTGTGTGGAGTGAGCAACCCAGCACAGCAGTAGCAAACAACCTTGATTCAAGATTTCAAGATTTACATGTGAAGACACAGGCAATCTTCTTGATATTGTAAGGTCTCAGAGGAGTCACTGTACATGCTGACACCCAGGCCATGGGGGTGAGAAACAGCACTCCGACCCAGGAAGTGACTGACCACCAGAATGTGGAACAACATTCAGTCCGCTCTATCCCACAGTAAGGGCAACCTTTAGAGAGGCAGAAAGCAGAATCCTTGCAAAAACATCATAATTTCAGCTGACTGCAATATATACATCACAAACACTCTTAATAATAATTTTTAAAAGCCAAACAAACCCTTGCTGTATATTCTTGTGAGCTTTACCAATAAAGCAGGGAAGACAAGAGTATACATTAATTTGTGACTGAAGTCCTGCACTCAGGGTAATTCAATTGCAAACTAGTAAACCCACCTGTGAAAGCAGATAAGATTGGAACTCCAGAAGCATTCCACCTTGAAAGAAGAAATCTGATAGAGAAAAGTGCTCCAGGGTTGTTTAAAGTTTATCTACTGGCAG